GTGGTATTCCATTGTATATATATACCACATTTTTTTATCCAGATATCTGTTGATGGGCACTTTGGTTGCCTCCACGTCTTGGCTATTGTAAATAATGCTGCAATGAACTTTGGGGTGCATAGGACTTTTGGAATTGCTGACTTCAAGGTCTTTGGATAGATACCCCGTAGTGGGATAGCTGGATTGTATGGTAGTCCTATTTTTAATTTTTTGAGGAATCTCCATACTGTTTTCCATAGTGGCTGCACCAGTTTGCATTCCCACCAGCAGTGTATGAGGGCTCCTTTTTCTCCACAACCTCTCCAACATTTGTTACTATTTGTTTTAGTTAATTTTTGTCATTCTAATGGGTGTAAGGTGATATCTTAGTGTAGTTTTGATTTGCATTTCCCTGACGATCAGCAATGATGAACATCTTTTCATGTGCCTATTGGCCATCCGTGTGTCTTCTTTGGAGAAATGTCTGTTCATGTCTCCTGCCCATTTTTTGATCGGGTTGTTTGATTTTTTGTTGTTGAGTTGTGTGTTTGTAGCAGTTTTTTTAAAGAAACAACATTAAATGAACACTCCAAGTCCCTTTGGGATCTCTCCAGTCCTGTTAGCCTGCCCCTCCTCACAGCAGCCACTCACTGTAAATTGGTGGTGGGTTCCTCTAATCCATATTTTTCTGGCTTTTCTACACTTGTGTGCATGCAGTCTGGTGTAGGTTTACACATTGACATTGAACAGTGTTGTCACGTGTACATGTCATTTGGCGTTGCAGTGGGTCTGGTTCATTCTGACTCAAGTTTGTTAGTTCCCAATGCCCACTCCTTGCTAGTGGGCGGTGGTGTCACAGCCATCCATGCTGCTGATGCCAGAGCTTTCCCGCTTCACAGCGCAGTGTTTTTTGGTATTGGCATGATGCCCCCAGCATGACCTGGTGTGTGTCTTCCTTTTCATTGGACTGCGGGTTTTGTGTGTGTCCCTGGGGCCAGGTAGGCCTCTGCCTCAAGCCTGTGTGGTTAGTTGGTTAGGTTGTATTCTTTACGGATGTCTTCCCCTTGGCTTATCTCCTCATTTTTAATGATGTCTTTAAAAAAATCTTTCGAAATTTGAAAATCTAAGTGGGGAGAGCCTGCCTGTCTTGTGACCCAGCTTCAACAGTTGATGCACCTGCCCAGTCTCCCTTACCTGCTCCTTCCTTTCCATCATTTTGAGGCAGATCCCAGTCACATCATTTCATCCATAAATATGTCAGTGTAGATAGCGTTAGGATTCTTAAAAACATAACCATAATCTTACACTGTCTTGATGAACTGAAGTTTGTTAATTTCAGTGCCTTTTCCAGTGTATTGTTTGTGTCCTAAGAACTCTGTCCCTGCTGTGTTTCCTCCAGGAGTCTCTAGTCTTCCTGCAACCAATTGTCAGATGCAACAGGAGGGGTCTACTGTATGTCTTCCTGCACACACAGCCAGTCCTTCCTGGCTGGACCTGCTGGCTTCCAGCACTCATGGCCCTGTCCTTGCACCTCTGGCCCCCCTGTCTCAGAACCATACAGTGGCCTCGCCGAGCCCTGATCTGCGTAGGGCCAGCCCCCTCGTTCTTCCTCATCCTCTCAGCTTCTGGTTAGAGTCCCTGTGATGTTCGTGTTCCTTCAGGAAGCCCTAGCTCTGCGCCACTGGTTTTACTTGAATACGAAAGCGTGGCCTAGCCTCGATGCTCACTAGAACTTCTTTAATGTCTTCAAGAGAGTTCATAGTTTTCTCCATAAGAAATTTAATATTATAGTGTTTTTTAAAATTAGCATTTTTTGCTGATTGTATAGATTCAGGTTTTTTTAGATTGATGTAGTACATTGTAGTTTCTCTTAGATTATCTTTGGGGACAATATCTATGAAAATGACAGTTTGGGCTGGCTTTTCCCTCCTTCACTTTTTTGTCTTTATCCAAACTCAGCCCCGACCAGGACTGCCAGCCCAGAGCTGATTTGTCAGAGTGAGAGCAGACATCCTTGCCTTGGTTCTGGTGCTTTCCAAGGGATTGCCTTTTATTATTTTTTATATATTTTGACGTATTTTATTTTATGGCTAATGCTTATCATATCTTGTTTAAATAACCCTTCATTTCTCTGAGGGCCTCAAGATTTTCTTCTGAAAGCTTTCAAATGGCCTTTCCTGTCCCTTGTTGCCCTCCTCTGACTTTAGCGTGACCAGTTTTGCTCAAATGCCTTGATTTGTTGGGTGTGTCTTTGCTGCAGTGGTCAGCCTCCCTGTAGCATGACAGCCCCCAGAATGGGTCTTTGCTTTGCTCCCTGAAGTGTCCCGGGGCATCTATCCCTTGGAAGTGCTGGGTCACTTGTGGAATCAGCGCTTTCTTATGAGGTGAAAGTATGGTTTTATTTTTCAGTGTGGATGACCATTTGTTCTCTCATCACTTCCTGAGTCATTTCTCCTTTCCCTAGAGATCCGTCTGCACTTCCAGCTACTGGCCAGTGTCCCTGGGTGGGCGGGTCTGCTTCCATGGCTGCCTGCAGCTCTGGGAGGCGTCTCTGTCTCTGCTGGGGCAAGTTCATCAGACATGTGTGGTTCTTGTTCACCCGTGGGTCTTTCATGTAAGTTTTGGAGTCATCTTGTCAGCTTTCTTGACAGTTTAAACCCTCTTGGGAACTTGGAAATTCCATGGCATCTACAGACCAATTTGGAGAGGATTTGTTTATTTATGATATTTTTCTCTCTCGCTAGCGTCGTTTGTCATTGAGTGTCTCTACTTGTTTAGAGCATTTTTATTGTCATTCAGTTATGTTTTATATTTCTCCCTTTATAAAGATTGTGCACATCGGGTCCTTAAACCATTAAGTTTCCTCTCCTTCATGTTGGTGAGAATATCCCCTTTGGTTCTCGTAGGAGCAGGAGGGATGGTAGGCATCTTGGTCTTGGCCCCAATTTCGAGGAGCAGCTCCCAGTCTTCCCTGAGATGAGGCTCGCTCAGGTCTCAGGATGAACGTCTCCCAGCCATGCTCACAGGACCCTTGCTGCTTGGCACGTGTTGGGTGTTGCAGGTCAAGGTTGATTCATTGCTTTTCCAGATCTTTTAAGATGATCACGGTCTGCTCCCTTATCTGATGATATGCAAGTTGTTTGTAGGACTGCTAATTTCAAGACCACCCTTACCTTCCTGGGACAAACCCTCTTGTCCTTGCTTATGGTGTGAAGTGTTTTTTATACTCAAGTGGATTTGGTTTGGGTATTCTGTTTCAGTTTTTTTTTTTTGAGGAAGATTAGCCCTGAGCTAACATCTGCTGCCATTCCTCCTCTTTTTGCTGAGGAACACTGGCCCTGAGCTAACATCTTTGCCCATCCTCCTCTACTTTATCTGTGGCACGCCTACCACAGCATGGCTTTCCAAGTGGTGCCATGTCCGCACCCGGGATCCAAACTGGTGAACCCTGGGCCGCTGAAGCAGAAAGTGCGAACTTAACCTCTGCGTCACCAGGCCGGCCGCTGTTTCAGTTTTGCATGCATGTTTGCAAGTGAGTTTGGCCTCTGACCTCTTTCCCCCAAGGCCCTTGTTTTGTACACTTACCTGGTCTGAGTTGGATGCCTCTCTTCTCTTTCTGGTTGGTGGGACAAGATTGGGCTGATCTGATCTTCTAATGATAAACCTCTTCTGGAAAATCATCTTTTCCTTTTCCTTTTCTTTTGGGAGTAGGAGGAACATTTAAAACTATTGATTCAGTTTCTAAAATAATTGTTATATGAATGTATTTAGGTTTTCTTTTTTTCACAAGTCCGTTTTGGGAGGTTACCTTTTCTTACAGGTTTGTTTTACATCTCGGTTTTCATGATACTCATTTTCAGTTGGATGTGTTTCCTTTGTCCTTATCCACTGCTAACATTGTTTTTGTTCTCTGTCTTTCGGTGGTTCAGTGGTTACGAAAGTTTGTTTAGTCTTTTCAAAGAACAGAGTTTTGGTTTTCATGAGACTTTCTCATGTGTTCTTGTTTCCTGTTCATTAATTTTTGCTCATTTGTCTTTTTTCCCCTGGTTTATAGAGAGATAATTGACATATGATATTGTCAGTTTAGGGTGTACAGTGTGATGATTTGATACACACGTGTATCCTGAATGTTTAGCCTGAGAAAGTTCGTTAACACAGCCTTCACCTCACGTAGTTGCTGTCATGGTGAGAACAGTAAAACTGCTCGTGTCAGCTTTTGAGGGCCATGTACCGTGTCATTAACAGTCACCAGCACGGTGCTGCGCCTCAGGTTCTGGGATGCATTCTTCTCTTTATTGTCTTTTACTTTGTTTTTTTCCTTCACCTCTTCAGTCAGACTCCTCACACGTGACAAATCAGCCTTTCTCCCTTCTAAGAGGCATTTTCGATATAACCCATCAAAGTAATTTTGAAAAGCAGTGTAGTACCTTGCACATTTTTTCAGCTGAAGTCCAGCATTTTTACCCCAAGGTCAAATAGTGGAAAGGTATGTTGAAAGTATGCATGTGTTAAAAGGCTCATCACTGTGAGAGTGAATTCAGTGGGATCTGGGTGGGCTGGCAGTTTGCCCCCGCGTCCCCCACCCAGTGCCGGCTGCTATCCAGCCGCCGTCCCTGTGTTGATCTGTATGTCACTCTCACTGGACTTCCAGGGTTGGGGTTTCTTCCAGATCAAGTTGTTGTTAGGATTGTCAGTACACACCTGAGCAAAACAAATGTACAACTTGAAGGTTCTTAACTGTAAGTGTCACGTAATGGGTGCATCTCTTAACAAGACGAGGCTTTAAAAGGATGAGTGAGCATTTCCATGGACGGATGTGCTGCTGTGCTGGGGCAGCTTCTCCCTTAATTCTAGTCTTGGATTTTGTTATTAGAGACGCAAGTGCTGGAAACCTTGATCACATAGGTAAGTAGATAGTATGAAAGCAGTTTTGTTGAGCAGTGTACTCAATTTTTAAAATTTCCTTCCATGTTATATGCCAGACTCACAAACTGATGTTTATCAACAGACCTTCAGTTGGGTCCTCCTTCAGTTTCTCCAGAAGCTGAGAGTGGGCAGCCCCTGGCCTGCAGAGGTTAGAGTAACCTGCTGCCGAGAGTTGTTCACTGTCTCCTTCTGACGTGTCCTCGAGACTGTCAGCAGAACTCACCATGTATCTGTCAGCTGTGCCTGTTTATCTTTCATTTGGAGGTAGCTTGTTGATGAGATATTCAGAAAGGCTTGAGAAAATAAACTTGGTCCTTTGAATATACTCTTGCCAAATATTGTATTTTTTAAAAAAATATTTGTAATACAGAATCAGAAAGTTACATAAAACAAATGCATAGTTTAATGAATTACTGTGGGGTAAACACTCTCATAACTACCATCCACTTGAGAACACGGGACCTGGCCAGCCTCCCAGCCCCCTTGGCGACCCCTTCCCATCCCCAAGACCACCTCTGTCCTCAACTGTGTGGGCCTTCCCTCCTAGCCCTCTTCCTCAGCAGGGTTTACTGTGCCTTTAAGGCTCTCCTCTTTTAAAGGTCCCTGTTGGTCTCTTTCTCTCTGGAGGTTAATTGTTGAGGGAGCCGGCTCCCTGTCCTGTCTTGGGTTTCCAGGTCCCTGTCCCTTGGCTGGGCGTGTGTCGACTGTGTTTCGGTGGTGTGGGTTAGCACATTCCTCTGCCTTCCACTTGCTGTGAATTGGTGGTTGGGGTAGGGGCTCGATGGGTGCAGGGTTGATGTGATGGATGTGTTCAGTGTTGGCACCTCTGCTTCCCGGGCGGCGCTGTGTGTCCTTCCAGGAGGCACGTGGTCAGTGTCTGTGCCGTTGCAGCCTCTGTGCTCAGCCCCAGCCCTGTTCCTTCTTCATGACTCTCTGGAGCTTGTGAGGTAGAATCAGTGCTCAGAATGCAGTTTTTCAGTAAACAGTTTAGTATAGCTTTAAATATATTTTCATCAAAGGCTTTGTTGCTCACACCTGTGGACTGCTTATGGGTCAGAAATCCTGACTCTAGGGGAGATGGTGGCTTGTTTCATTAGGTTCAGAATCTTTATTTATAACATGTTGCCAAACAGCATTTCTTTGGACCTTGAAATTGTTAAAAAGTACTTTTATCTAGATTGCCTTGTTTGACCATTGAAATAACTGAGTATGTATATGTGTTAAAATCTCTCTCTGCATGTGTAGAGATCCATGGAACTGTATGCCTTAGAATTTATGCACTTCACTGCACTTGAGTTATGCCTCATTAAAAATGGTAAAAACAAGACCCTACCAAAAACGGCCCTTGTGTGGTGCCCAGCACCAGCCCAGCCCCATCCACAGACAAGGAGCTTTGTCCGTGGGGGCTGTGAGCAGTGCCTGCCTTCCTTGGTGTGCCTTCTGCGGGAGCCCTCAGGGGACATTGGAGCTGTGCTGGTTACTGCTGGTGGGCATCCTGTCTCTGCTTCCTGCTGAGGCTATATGACCAAGTGTCCTTGAGGGTGCAGACCAGCGTGCCCTGCGGTCCCGGTCAGGCAGTGGCCACACTTGAACTTGGGCTCTGCATTTGCCTGTGGAAGATCTGGGCGCCTTCTTGGGGCTGGATTTGGCCCGAAGGCCACTCACAGGGCCACTCTTGCAAAGCCCCCAGCCTGTGTCTGGCATGGAGCTGCCCCCAAATTCAGTTCCTTGGTTGGTCCCTCTGCAGGACTGATGCTCAAGCTGTGTCCTGCCAGAAGAGGTGGCATTGGCTCACTGCGTGGTGTGTGGGTCTTGGTGGCCCCAGGAGGAGGGCAGCCACACATGGTGTGCATCCTTCAAATTCAGCACAGAGGCTGACCAGCAGCATGATTTGGAGCAATCTTGGAAATGAGCCGGAGCCGTTGTTTTTAAGAGAAGGAACATTGCGAGTCTGGACGTGACATGACTGGGAGTGTTGTGACAGTTTTGTTCATTGATTATTTTGTAGAACTTCTGCTTTGCATTCTTTAGAAAATTTGGTCTTAAAATTCCTTGATTTATGTCCTGAAATTTTGATGTTTGGTGCACAATGAGGAATGTCTTCTTGTTGCATTTTGTATTTTTGTTCTGTTAAGTTTTTAGTTCATGATTGAATTTATGTTATCTTTCATGTCCTCGTGAGGTAAATTGATGAATCAGTCTTTGTTTCAGCAGGACAGCTAACAACAGGGACATGGAAGCTTTCTGTCTGGCCTTTAAGGGTTTTATTTTATTTTATTTTATTTTTTTTTTAAAGATTTTATTTTTTTCCTTTTTCTCCCCAAAGCCCCCTAGTACATAGTTGTATATTCTTCGTTGTGGGTCCTTCTAGTTGTGGCATGTGGGACGCTGCCTCAGCGTGGTTTGACGAGCAGTGCCATGTCCGCGCCCAGGATTCGAACCAACGAAACACTGGGCCGCCTGCAGCGGAGTGCGCGAACTCAACCACTCAGCCACGGGGCCAGCCCCTGGCCTTTAAGGGTTTTTAAATGATCATCATTTCCCCTCATGCAAGTGTCTTTTACAAACCCTTTGCATTTTATAGTCCCTAGAAGGATGAGGTCTCACAAGAACCTTCAAGATGCCTTTTGTCATTTTAGTGACTAATAGCTACTCTCTGTCTTCAGCCCTGACCCGTCAGCTGCTTCTACCTCAAGTTGTCTCACCTCTTTTCCTCTTTGAGATGACCAAGTGGGACCAGTGCCCCACACTTGCCCACCCTTCATGAGAGCACACAGTTCTTGAGGAATCTCTTCACACGTACACTGCAGCTGGCGAAGCTTCCACTGGACGCTGGTTAAGGTCAGCGTGCATGTGCACAGCATAACGTGAAGAATTAGAAACATTCAAAGCTTTGCTCAGCGTGTTTTCTTTTTAGATGTTTGATCTGAGAGACACTTGAGTGAATTAGATGTGAGTGAAACCTGCAGATGGTTGGAGGTCGTGGACTTTGTTTCAGCAGAACCAGAGACACAGGAGGCAGCAATTACATGTGCCATGGCTGAGAGGAAAATTGAAAATGTATTACTGTACTGCTTTAAAGCTAAACTCTGAGTTTTTCCATGTTTTAGGTTAAATAGGATTGCGAATCAGGTGGCCATTCAGCGGAAGAAGCAGTTTGTTGAGAGAGCCCACAGCTACTGGCTACTCAAAAGGCTGTCCAGAAATGGCGCCCCCCTGCTGCGGCGACTCCAGTCCAGCTTGCAGTCCCACAGAAACACGCAGCAGGTACGTGGCCCTCGCACACTTCTCAGTGTCTCTCTCTTGCCCCCTCACACAGTGAGCAGACACAGCAACTCTGAGGAGGGAGTGCCTGCTTCTGGCTGGATATGTTGCCAGCCTCGGGCCCCAGACTCCTTGTCTAAAAACCCCGGTCTTGTCTAGTCCTACAAGCGAACAAGGACCCATGTGTGCCCTGAGCTCTTGAGCTGTGAGTTGTGCAGGTTGCTCTCATCCAGCCACGTCGCCTGGTGTCCTGCAGTTTTGAGTTCTGCTTCCTTCTCCAATCCGCACACTCTGGGCATGCCTGGGAAGCCATTACCAGGCTGACAGCCTGGGTGGGGGCCCCGGGCAGGGAGCAGCAGGAGGTGAGGCACAAGTCTGTGTGGGGCAGGAGTTTGGGTTCCGGGAACGTTGTCCATGGGGTGATCTCTTTTTAGGGTTTTGCTCTGAAGGCTGGTTTAGCATTGACTGCAGTGGGAAGGGAAGGGGATGGGAGCTGAGATAAGGGAGAAGGGGCAGGGATTGTGCTGTTTAAAAGAATAAAACCATGTAGGCTCTAACATTTTAGTAGTTAATTTGGGTTTATAGAACCACTGATAATTGTAAAGCAGTTCTGGAAGAACGGATTTTGAAAGTAAGAAATTGGGTCTCTAAGATGTCTTAAAAATAAACTGAAAGCAAAAATGGTTCTTTTGCACGTTGCCCAAAATTTTTGACTGGCGTTGTCTCCTCACTTTATGCTGTGAGGAGTGGCCAGCTTTGTAGGAAGAGCTGTCTGTGCTTGGCCTCTGGGCTCAGCCACCTCCTTGGGCTGAGAGACGGGAGGACTCAGCGAAGAGTGGAGCCTGATCAGGGTCCCCTCACTGCCGTCCTGGTTGCGTACCAGAGCTGTTCTTCTGACAACTTTGTATCAGATCCCTGTGCGGCTGCCAGCACCACCATCTTACCAGCTCTGCTGCTCTCTCCCTTTCCATCCTGAGTCACCAGGCAGCTGAGCGAGGCCGAAGGGATGCTGTCAGACATGGCAGGACGTTGTGCCCCCTGGGTGGCTGGGGATAGGGCTCTCTGGATCCAGCAGGTTCCTGGTTTGTGGGGTTCTCTGCGGTGGAGTGTTCCTGGCCTACCACTCAACGTTGCTCCCTTCACTGTGTTCTGGGGTTGGGGCATGACTCCTTGGGAGGCTGCTTGGTTGTAAAGTTGGTCCTTTACTGAGTGAGAATCCCTGTCCCTCATGTTGCCACACTCCACAGTCCCTGGCACAGAACAGAGGCCTAGGTGAAAGTTTGTGATCGTTGAGTGAATCAACGTATTTTTCATTCCGTTATGTCTTTTTTTTTTAAGCTTGGCACCTGAGCTAACAACTGTTGCCAGTCTTCTTTTTTTTTTTTCCAGCTTTTTCTCCCCAAGTACCCCCGGTACTTAGTTGTATATTTTTTTAGTTGTGGGTCCTTCTAGTTGTGGCATGTGGGACACCGCCTCAGTGTGGCCTGATGAGCTCTGCCATGTCCGCGCCCAGGATCTGAACCAGCGAAACTCTGGGCCGCCGAAGCAGAGTGCATGAACTCAACCACTTGGCCATGGGGCTGGCCCCCCATTATGTCTTGAGATGCCACTTTTTGTCTCTCTGCCATCCCTTCTTCTCAGTCCCAGCGTGACTCCCAGGCCGAATGTGTCCCTCCCCACCTCGTGCCCCCACTAGGACATTGATGTCATTCCTAGGGACCCCTCCTCTTAACTTTTGCTATTTCTACTATGGTGACAAACAGGTAATTTAAAGTATTTATATATTTAAATGCTTTTTTTTTAAATTTGGATTTTAATATCTTTTTTATACTTTTCGGAGACCACAGAGAAACTGTTAAGACTCGAGGTCTCATGGGGTGGGCCATACCCCTTGACCCTTTTCATCTCCAGGTAAATAGGTGCCTCAAGGGCTGCAGGTGCTTCTGGGACCCACTGCCCCTCTGAGGGGTGATGGTTGGGCCACTCCTTCACCTGGTGGCCCAGGGCTGGGTGTGGGTGTCTTGGTGCCCATAGTGCCCTGAGTCACATCCCATGAAACATGCAAGGACACTGTCTTAGATAGTGGTGTGGGACAGACCTCGAGATGGGCTCAGGCCTTTGTGCAGACCTGGTGTTGCCTCCCGTGCCTTAGGATGGTGAGGCTTGCTGGAGTCGGGGGCGGCGGATTGAATATTCCAGCTCACCGAAGGGGGCTCCTTCAATTTGAGTTCTTGGCTTCACTGGATGCCTGTGTGGATGAGGCTGGGCTGTGTGTGTGTCTCCAAGTGCTGCCGGCCCGCCAAATAGCCGCCCAGCGCCTGCCTGCCCGCTCCATGAGGTATTGGGACTGCTGACTGCCTTGGACATATCCCTCGTGTCTCATCATGTGTGCTGCTGACCCTGGGGGCCATGTGCGTCCTGCCCTCACTAAGTCAGAGTCCATCCGAAACCTATGTGTTCGACCTGTGGAGTCCATCCCAAAGCTATGTGTTGCTCCTGGGATCTTTGTGAGTGACGTCTCATTAGCTGATGTGCTGCAGACTTGTTGCTGCTCCTCTTTGGGAATGGAGTTTGGGTTCCCCCTCAGGGCTGTGCCAGGACTGGTGGGCAGGCAGGAGTGATTGGCCCGGAGCTGGTACGTTGTTGGGGCGTGCTGACCGCAGGGTGTGGGGGGTATCGAGGATGCTGCGCAGCAGGAAGAGTAGGGTGCGCGGCTTGCCTGGGGCCAGTCTTGGGAGCTCTTTGAAAGTTGGGCTGCGAAGTTGGGGCCAGAGTCTGCAAGGCATCCAGTGTGAGAGGCGGGGCGCTGAAGGGAGATTGTGACAGAGGTAGGACAGAGGCCTTAGTCTTCACTCCAGCAATGGCAGAGAAATGGAGGGAAGCAGAGAATGCAGACCCAGGATTCTCATCTTAGGGCTGGAGGGGATTCTCCTTTCATACAGCCCCTGGCGAGCCATGCTCTAAATGGCGGCTTGTTGCCTCTTGTGCACACAGGCCCGTTAGAAACTGGCGGAGGACATGCGGGGGCTCAGCTCAGGCTCAACTCGGCCTGTGTGGTCTGTGAGTGGGACTGGGGGCAGCAGGGGAATGGGGTTGGGGAAGCCAGGAGGGAGGAGCGCATTGGGAGGGAGGGAGATGGGTGTACTGCGCACTAAGAGGCGTGCTACCGAGGCTCTATCAGAAGAGGTGCTGACACATGGGTTTGAGATCAGTTGTTTTAGATTTCACATTCTGCCAGATAGAAAATGAATTCATCACAGGAAGATGGGGAATGGAAGTGTCAGCTCTCTTGGCAGAAGGAACTGGGAGGAACTGTGTAGAGTCTACACCACTCGAACTGGTTGGTGCTGAGAGCCTTTTAGTGCAGCTTGGTTCGACCAGGGTTCTGGCAGGAGAGCGTTATTGACACGGTTGTAGACAACTCGCTTGTGCGGCTTGCGGAGGCACCAGCCACAGACGTGGGTCGGCCCCGCCACCCCCGTGCTCCGGCGTGAGGTCCTGCTTCATGGGAAGGACAGGAGGTGGACAGGTGTTAGGGCTGCACCCAAACCATGCTTCCCCCCCCGCATCCTGTGAGGGTTGACATTTTTAGGGGGGGCATCCAAAATAGTAATGTTCCACATGGAACGTTTTAAGGCTTGGTGCAATTTTAAAGTTTTTTGAAACTTTAAAAATACCTGATGTTAGAGTTTAATTTGACTCATTTGTCTATGTTTTTGGGTGCCTGCCCTGATGCAGGTCCTGGAAGAGGTCAGGTACAGCCCTTCCCTCCCCTGGCTGATCTCTGGTGGAGGACGGAGACAGACAGATGGGACAAGCTGGTCTGCAGGCGAGGCGCCTCAGGCTGGGCCCTGCCGGGACCTTGCTGCTGTGCGTTGCAGTGCTTCAGGACCCCACTTCTTCTGCAGTGGTCTGTTGGGAGCCCACAGAAGCCTGGTCTGGCTGTGAGCACAGGGTCCCTGCGGCCTTGACTGGGTGGGAAGTGCAGGTACCTTCCCAGGGGGCCTTCATAGTGACCGTGTCTGGAGCCAGTCCGCCACCATCCTTCAGAGCCTCTTGGGAGTGGAGGTTTGCAGGCCTGCTGCGGGGTGAGGGTGGAAGCTCCTGTTCATCCTGTCCTGCTCTTGAGTGAGCACATCTGCCAGCTCACCATGATGCTCCCCTCTGACAGGAGGGCCTCTCCGTGTCCTCTGTGTCTCATGGCTTTAGGACAGCATGGTCATCGTGCTGTGCTGGGTGCAGGGGCATCACCATCCACCTTACTGCTGCTGGCATCAGGTTTAGCAGCAGAAGCTGGGCCCCTTCATGTGTGTCTCACTTTAGGGGCTAGGACTGCTGCCCCTTTAGGTCCTACACACTGGTAGTGTCCTGGGACTTGGGTGGATGTGCTGGGGCCCTCTCTCCGTGGACCTGGCCTGCCCCTCACTACTGGACAGTTGTGTCCCCCCAGCACAGGAAGTTTTGATCCGACCAAGCTGGTCCTCACTGGGGGATTCTTGCCATCTCCCCGACCCCAGTACTTGGGTCTCCTCCTTCCACTCAGTGGGTGTCCTCCTCTCATTCTTCTGGTGGAAGCTGGCTAGATTTCAAACATGGTCTTCTAAAATTCTCTTTCCCGATAGCCTTTTGGTAGTAGAAATAGCTTCACTTCTATCCCACTTTACAGAGACTGTCAGGGTTGGTTTTCACATAGGAAATAAAGACCACTCAAGAGCAGAGTCAGAAAACTCAGTCCCTTTTGAGCAGAGGAGGCCGTGCATGTCTCAGTCGGGTCTGGTCAGCAGGCCCCTTCCTTGTGGGGCTGTTGTGTGCAGGGAGAGTGGCCCTCAGGGCCTCAGGCAGGTCATCTTCCAGCCCAGGCAGTGAGCACACCGGTCAGTAGGGCAGATAACTGTAAGGGTTACAGTCAAGATTTCTGGTCCTGACCTGGCTAAACACCCTTTGGTTGATGTTGTCAGAGTGTCTATTTCAAACTAATGGACAAGATGAATTCTAGATGCCCTTGGGGAATTTGGTTTGTGAATCCACCTTTTTATGCATTTATTGGCCTTATTTATACAGCTGATATTGCTGTTAACTCCTATTTAATGCCTGAGAACTTTAAATAACGTGAAAATAAGCCCAGTGATTCACATCTAGTGGACACTGAGTCCACCTCCCAGTGGAGCCAGAGAAAGCCTGGTTGAACTTGGAGGCTCAGGTTCAGCCCTCTCCGTCCCCTGTGCCCCTGGCCAGTCTCATTGGCTGGAGTGCCTCTTCTGGTCTCATCCTCTCCTGTGTCCCTTCTTTGTCTGCCTTTGGCTGGCTGTAGTGTGAAGGTCCCTCGCAGTTCTCTGTGGTGACTGTTTGCCTTCAGATCCTAATATCCTTTAGAAAGCAGTGTGGGCTGTGGATAGCCCTGTGCATGTAGCCTTAGGGTTGAGTGCCAACAGTTTCCACTCTGCCCCTGGTGGTCAGACTGGGAGTAAGGTTGCAGCAAGGTGGGGGATACTGGGGGGTGGGGACACTCCCTCCCCACTGTGGGTATGGTTTCACTTTGCACAGGATGGGGTGAAAACATGAGGGACAGAGCCGTCCAGAGAGAGAAAAGGACCTGATAAGTGTGGAGTATGTTCTGGAAACTGATGAGCGACCTGCCCCCGGCTTAGGGTTGTGTGTGTCCTCAGGGGTGGTAAAGGAAAGCCGCCTGAGGTAGGGACCCTCCTTCAGTCCAGGGAGACGTGCGCATAAAGTTGGAACAGGATTGGGGTGTCATGGGCTGCTGGAATCAGAAGGGTCCCGGATGCCAATTGGAAGCCGTGATGGGGACAGGTTTGAGTATCTCAGTGGAGTGTGGTTTCGGGATGAGGTGAGGGAGTGCCCCGTCTGTGCTGGGTCCGCCTTGGGTCCACCTGGAGTAGAGCTGTGGTCAAGCAGAGGGTGGGCCTTCAGTGATATGGGGACACTAGCGGGCAGGGTTACCTCCGGGTGCGTGGACTCTGGTGCTGTGTCTCGGCAGCACACGGGTAGAAGGTGACCCGGAGCTGAGGACGGGCAGCAGCTATAAGAGTGGATGGTGCCCGTGTTAGATGTATGTGAAGGCCTGGGCCAACCTTGGGGGACAGGAAAGGAAGTATGAGGAAGTGCAGGGGGGCAGTGGGCTGCTGTGAGGGAAGGGAGCCCCAAAAGGAGAGCGAGGGTGGACGAGATGCAGGGTGTCACAGCCGATGGGTCCGCAGGGCAGAGCAAGCCAGCGTGAGACGTGTCGTCAGGAACATGGGAGTGTCTTGGTTATAACTTCCTGGGGTTTGAACGCAGGCCCCGCCCCGGGAAGGTCTCTCTGATTGCCTTGTCGGGGACTTGTGCGACGGCTGCCATACAAGTGTGTGTCTGCCAAGTTGCTTGTCTCCTGTTGTGGCCAGGGTAGCTCTTCCATGCTCCTTGGTCCAAGTGCTTTGAGGGGTCCTCCCTTGTCAGCCCTGATCTCTCCCACCACCTTGCGTTTCTTTGCTTTTTCAGTACAACATTTTTAGTTTTGAAAACACTAGAGTGGAAACAGGCTGGTTGTGGGCCGCGTTGAGGTCAGTGGCACGGGTGTCCCATCAAGGCAAGAAGAGGCACTGCAGTGGTGACCACGGAGCGCCGATTTCGGAGGCGCTGGATGCAGGCGCGTGGGGACGTGGACCCACTCGTGCTGGGCCTCCACAGTGACCCCAGTGGTGGGCAGTGGATGGAACTGAGAGAAATGGCATGTCCAGCGCACAGACCGTCCCGTAGTGGGCTCGGCCCTGGGGTTTTCTGTGTTTTGGTGTCTTCTCGGGTTGCTCCCTCCATTCCCAGTTTCCAGAAGGTGGGAGGCCCCAGTCCATGATGGCCTCGCCTGGTCACCGAGGCTCCTCCTGACTTGGGGTCAAGGCACGTGCCCACATCGCGGGTCCTTCAGTTCTTTGAGTCCTGTGAAGGCTCTTTGCCCCTCCTGCTCTTGGGGACCCTGTGGCTCCCTGCAGGGCAGAGGCTGTGCACTTCTGCCCTGACCGTCCTTGGCTCTGCTGGTCAGTGCCTGGGCTGGCTTTCAGCTTCACGTGCTGTCACTGGGCTTGTGCTCAGAGCTGGGTTCCCGCCACTGGCTCTCACCGTGAGGGTGTCTGAGGCCAACTTTGGATTGATTTTCTCAGAGAGAAGATGACGAGGAGATTCAAGCCGCCAAAGAGAAGCTGAAGTACTGGCAGCGGCTGCGGCATGACCTGGAGCGTGCGCGCCTGCTGATCGAGCTCCTGCGCAAGCGTGAGAAGCTCAAGCGGGAGCAGGTGAGGCTCCATGCGGGGCTCTCCCCCTTTGAGCATCCCCAGGGCGGTTCACAGACCCCAAGTGGGCTTCACAGGCCATGGACTGAAGACGCCCCAGAGCCAGTCCCAGGGGTTGGCCATGCAGCCTGCAGCGTTCTGGACCTGCAGCCCTTGCCGCCTGCCCTCCTAAACTGTCCTTCCTCAGGGTGCAGGCCAGGTGACTGCCAGCCCTGGATTGCAGGTGGCTTTATGGAGGGGGTAGCACGGGGGCAGTGTGGTGTCCACTTCGGTGTGCTGTGACGGCATTGTGCCAGGGAAAGTGGGAGCCTGCTGGCACACGGTGGTGAGGAGGGGAGAGCTATGTGTGATGTACCTCGACATAGGCCGTGGGCAGTTTGCTGGGCAACGGCCAAGAAGAAATGTGTGACAGCGTTTCAAGTAGGAGCCTTTATTGGCTGTGGGACATGTGATGATGCCGAGCACTCGCGAGGCAGGAGGTGCAACTTCTCAGAGAGGGTTCCATGGCGAGTGTTGACACTAAGTCCTGTTGTCCTGCAGGTGAAAGTGGAGCAGATGGCCCTGGAGCTGCGGCTAACCCCGCTCACGGTGCTGCTGCGCTCCGTGCTGGACCAGCTGCAAGAGAAGGACCCGGCTCGCATATTTGCCCAGCCGGTGAGCCTGAAGGAGGTGGGTGTTCACGCGCTCCTGACCGGGTTTGCTCTGCTACTTAATTAATAAACGTTACCTAGAGTATACGTTTACTTGTATTCGTAATTTCTCAATTTTATTTAAGATTTTTTTTAAATCATAAAAGTGATACATTTCATTGTAAAATACTGGAAGTGAGAGAGGTGAGAGTTGTTCTGCAGAAAGAGACTCTTGGCAGTTGGCGGGTGTCTGCCCAGACCAGTGCACCGGTTATTGGATTTTTAATAAAGGAATTTGAGTCAGGCGGGTCCCTGGAAGGGTGTGAGTTTTAAGTTTGGTGTGTCTCAGTGCTGCTGCTTGTTACTGTGTGAGCATCATTTGTGCTGTGTGTGTACGTGTGTGTGCGTGCACATGTGGCTCTCATGTATAACGGGTGTATTGGTTATATAGAATGAATAAAAGTCCTTCTTTGTTTGTAAATGATGATTTTTCCTCCCTGAAATTAGGTACCAGATTATTTGGATCACATTAAACATCCCATGGACTTTGCCACAATGAGGAAACGGTTAGAAGCTCAAGGGTATAAAAACCTCACTGAGTTTGAGGAGGATTTTAATCTCATTGTAGATAACTGCATGAAGTACAATGCCAAGGACACGGTGTTTTATAGAGCCGCAGTGAGACTGCGTGATCAGGGCGGTGTTGTTCTGAGGCAGGCCAGGCGCCAGGTGGACAGCATCGGCTTCGAGGAGGCCTCGGGGATGCACCTGCCTGAGCGGCCTGCTGCAGCCCCTCGGCGGCCTTTCTCCTGGGACGACGGTAAGCACTGGGCCCTGCGTCCAGGAACAGATGGGAGAGTTCCTTTCCCGCAGACTCTGCACTGGCATGGCACAGTAGAAATACAGTGCAAACCACATAAGTAACTTCAAATTTTCTAGTAGCCTTGTGAAAAAAGGGGAAAAAAGAGGTGAAAATTTATTTTATTAATGTATCTTTAACCCAGTATATCTGAAATATCGTGATTTCAACGTGTAATAACGTACAAACTACTGAGGATATTTCTCATGTTTTTTAGTTTTCTCTTTGCCACCTGGTATGTATTTTATACTCATGGCATGTCTCTTTTCAGACCAGCCATGTTTCAAGTGTCCACTCGAGAGACATGTGGCCAGCGGCCCTGTCTCGGACAGCCCAGGTCTACCTGATACAGACCAGGCAGCAGTTTAGTTGGGGACTTGTCCCTCGGGGGGTCCTTTGATCGACTTCCTAGGGTGTCTTGTGGCTAGAGGGAGGTTGTTGGCTGAGTTTCACAGTGAATAAGACAAGCACAAGAACTCTGGCTGGCTTTCCCCCAGACCCTTTACTCCTGGTGTGCACACGTGGCAGAAAGGCCTCCAGACTTGGGGCTGTGCCTCCCCCTGAGCATGGGCATGTGCTCCTCAGAAACCCGGGGGCTGTCTGCCCACTTGTCTGCTCACTTGTTCTGATCCTTGGAAACTGAGGGCTCCCCTCACTGTGTCATGCTCTGGCCACCACTGAGCTCCCTGGAACGAGAAGGGGCTTGGGACTGCTCCGTGTCAGGCCTTTCAGAAAATGGCCTACAAGTTGCCTTGGCGTTGCCTGAGTAAACTTGAACATCCAGGTTTTCTCTAAGGCGAAAATTAAGGCTGAGAAGTCCTGATGTTTCCTTCCTCAGTATCTGGGAAGGGACATAGGTGAGCTAGTGGCCACATGTCCCATGCACTGGGTGCTCCTCTCCTTGCCCGTTAAGTACATGTGGGCACCAAGTGCCTCACGCTGAGCCGAGGCCCATGGTGCACACATGGCTGGTCCTCCTCTGCTTAAGGATCAACAAGATAGTCCAAGGTGTTTTCCTTTGGGGCTTCAAAGGACATGAGTTTTATTTATGTGAAGGTTTTTGAGGTGGTTCATCTATGAAGGTTTGTTGGAACAATGATTTATGACTACAAGCTGAGCTGTTGTGTTTTAGGCATTCTTATTGATTTCCGTGTTCTGACGTCTTGTTTACTTTGTAAAAAAGACAGTTGCTTTAATGACAGGCTGTTCCTGGAGGCTGGGGCTGCATGGGCTTCTGCCCAGTGAGGCTTTAGCTTCCTCTCTCTCTCTTGTTTGCTCTCACTTTTATTTCAGGTAGTTCTGAAGAGTAGTTTCTTTTGTTAGCCACTTCTCACTAATTTAAGGTAATTTGTGCTTTATAAACTATAGTGTTTTGCAGAAATTGAAATTGCTGGGGATTATTGTGGTAAATGTACCTAAAATTCAGAATTATCTGTGAGTTTAGCAGCCCAGTTTTAATGAAGCCACACGACCTAAAGTCTGCAGACTTGAGCTCAGACATCAGTTGTGATGTACACGTGGCTCCAAGTTGGTGCACTTGCACGAGCCAGCACAGGTGCTCTTGTGCGTGTGGGCTCTTTTGGGTCTTTCTGTTGTGCCTTGCCTGGCACAGGCAGCTTGTCTTCATGAGAAGGTGTAGAGTGATGGTGAGCCAGGAGAGGCTGTGGGCATCACTTGGGCTGTGTCTCTGCTTCGGTGCCCTGTGCCCACCTGTCCCTCACCAGCCGTAGACATAGAGACTCCTCCAGGATTGTCCTGATAGCCACAGAGTGAAATGCGTGTCTCCCTGTTGCAGCGGCCTTTTGTGGGTTCAGGGCATGGGTGGAGGGGCCTTTGGGGCTCCCAGTGGGTGGGGCCTGTGCCTCTGCATCACAGGGCAGTGCTGGGGCCTCAGCTAAGGGTGATTTAAGGGGCAGTAGGGACGAGTAAGCTTTTCTTGTCTTAGAAGGCACTACCAGCATTTGATGGCTAATGGAAGTGTGTCCTTTGACTTCAGTGGACAGGTTGCTGAACCCGGCCAACAGGGCCCACATGGTCTTGGAGGAGCAGCTGAGAGAGCTGCTGGACAAATTGGACCTCACGTGCTCCATGAAGTCCAGCGGGTCAAGGAGCAAGCGGGCCAAGTTACTAAAAAAAGAAATCGCTCTTCTTCGAAACAAGCTGAGCCAGCAGCACAGCCAGCCCCCGCCTGCAGAATCAGGTATTGGAAGCTTTGAAGAGGAAGGTGCTCGGCTGGGGCAGGAGACTGGGGAGGAAGGTAAGCACACAGCTCAGTGTCAGTCTTAACTGAGTCTCAGGAGTCACCACTGACTTTGTGTCTTGAAATTCACAAAGCCCCCACCCACTGGTATTTTGTTTTCTTATGGTTCCTGCCATCTGTGCTTTATTTTGGCACTTGAATATTACAAAGCTTAAGGAATAGAATAAGAATTTTTTTCAGATTGGTTCTGAAAAACCATTTAAAAAGAGTGGTTTAGGTCTTACACAACCATCCAGAGTAAAAGTGGCTTGTGCGATTGGAGTAAGGATTATTTTTGTTGTGCTGTGTAAATAGAGGGAGAGCCATTTAATTATGCGCTAGGTTATCAAATGCAGCATTTTGAAAGGGCTGTTTTAAACTGTCCTCACTTATATGATCCTTCTGGTGTTTTGAAGGGTGGGAACGTAACACACCGGTCACTGGGGAGCAGGAAGCTGAACCAGAGCTGCCTGCTCTCAGGGCCGGCCGACCACATGGGCTGCCTGCAGGTCCCCCAGACATGGCCCCCTTCTCAGCAGCATTCTTGCACTTCGCTTGAATAGCCTTGAAAGATGAGAACTTACCTTAGTCATAGTTGGAGTGTATCTGGGAAAAGAGCTAGACATCAGGATGTTTTTATGGATAGAAAACACATAGAGAAGAAACCCATCTGCCCAGTAGGAAAACTAGAAACCCCCAGTGCACACGCGACCTTTGGTGGAGGTGGCTGCTTTGGCAGCCCTGTGTCCGATGAAGGGGACTTGAGGTGACAGCTTTCGACTGTGTTGTGTGAGCATATGGGACATGGTGGAATACTCTTCCCACTCTTTTTTGCTTTTCTTTTGTATTTTAGAGTCAACACATTTTAGTTACACAAAACAGAGGAATAAGACTCCTCCCACCACAACTGTTAGAAGTTTGGTTTATAATCTTTCTGAGTCTTTTTCGGCATGTCCAAATAAGAGTAGCAAAAACATTGAAACCAGACACATACAAAATTATTCTACAATTTGCTTTTGAAAAAAAACTTTGGTCTGCTGTGGACATCTGTATCAGCGGGTGCCACCCTGCCATATTCCTGTAATGACCACGCAGTGTCTCCTGTCTGGGGCACCACGATCCAGCCAGGCCTGGCCAGTAAGCCTGCCAGCTTCTGGCTGGTCCCTCTGAGGTGAGGCAGTGCCTGTGTGTCCGCCTTTAGCCTGTTGCTTGAGGCAGCGGGTGGAGGCAGAGCCAGAAGCCTTGAGTCTCCTTCCTCTGAGAAGACGGCTTCCTGTGCGCACAGCTGAGACCTGTTCACGCAGCCTCGCCTCGCTTCACACTGGGTTTGTTTCAGCGTTATGGCTCCTCTCGTTAGGTTACTGTATTGTCAGATGCAGACTCTGCAACTTCTCTTTAGGGTGATGTAAATGGTAGTTGGTCTGTAGAACAGAACAGCGTGGCCCTTCAATGTGGAAGCCTCTGCTGTGAGCACACGATGTCCCCCTGCCTTTGAGGCCCTGATGGGTTTTGTTCTGAGAGGCACTTGCTCACAGGGACCTTTGACAGCCAGACCTATCTAGGATCCTGGGCTGCCTCCCTTTTGTGCCCTGGCAGGTCCTTGGGAGTAGGATGGGGTCCGGTGTGGGGCATACGCCTTTCTCCTGGCCAGCCCGCCTCCCGCTGCCCAGCTCTCTGACCAAGGTGATGTGTTTCGCTTACTTAAGGAAACCCATCTTTGTGTATTATTTGCACTGAAAAGAGTGAGTTGAGGAAAAAGCTTGTCAACAAGTCAGTTCCCCATTGTCAGGATGGCTCCACTGAGTGCCTTCTCCTCCCCAGCAGCCTGGCCTTCTCACTACAGAGCACTGTGTGACCTCTCTCCTCCTCGCCACGGGCTTCCTCCTGGCATCGCGAGCCTCACCTGCCAGGCGAGAGTCCCCCAGTTAGGCCCCCTCACACCGGGCAGGAGCGAGCCTGTTCCCCTGGAAGGCCACCTTTACTGCTCTGTGGCCCTGGGTCCTTTTAAAGGAAGTGCACACAGAGTGAGCTCTGACAGTCACCTGCGGAGTGTTAGGCTTCTTGTTAAAAATGACTAAATACATGGAATGGGCATTTTCCTTTCAGGTGATGGGAAAGGTGGCTGAAGGGGTGGGGAAGGGAGGGAGGGAGTGCCCACTGTAAGTATTTATTTATGTTTAATTATATTTAATTGCATACATGTTGAAGACAGCCAAAAACATATTTGTGAGTTAGGACAGAAATGTGAACTCACGATACTTATCATGTGCCAAAACCGAAGAATCTTCTGAAAGACGAGGACTCATAACTATAATATTGTTTCATACCCAAAAAAGTAGTAATTCTTTAATATCAAACATAGTGTGTCACTTAATTGTAATTTAACATTTACGTGGTTTCCGTTTGAAGAAACTTGAACAGGGAAGTAATCGTTGGGTGTCAGGCCCGCTGAGACGCCCTTGTCTGAAGGAGGTCCCTCTGATTGGCCCCTGGAGTTGAGACCTGCAGGTGGCCGTGGCTGTGGGGTCAGCAGCAGGCCCAGTCCCCTTCCAGCACTCCTTGCAGTTGGGGGCAGTGCTCCAGCAGCTCTGCTGTTGCTGTTAACTCCTTGGCCATTGGGGTTTCAGTTTGGGGCTGTTCCCTATGTTGACTGTGGAGCTGTGAGGCTCAGTTCCAGCTGGAGGTGGAAGGGCGGGGCACAGGCCACTGTCCCCAGGTCGCTGAATGGAGCGTTCACTTCCAGTTGTTGGGGTTTTAGGTCGTGAGTTGCGTTCTGTCTTCGCTGTGTCAAGACTGTGCCTTTCTCCTTTCTGAAGGCTCCAGAGAGTCTGCGTCAGTTCAAGGAGCTGAGCTTCTGTCCAGCCCGTGGGCTTGCAGTTTGGTGGGTCCTGCTTTATGCACACATCACGCTGTACCACACAAGGACCCTGCCGTGTTTGTAAAAGGACGTTTCACGTGGTGTGACACGTACATATGTGTCGTGTTCTCCTTTTAGGATTGTGAGGGGAGGGAGCACGAGGCAGGGATGGCGCTATGATGGTGTACAGTTGTGGGTCAGAAATGGCTAATTCATTCATTGTGATTGTCCCAAACTTTCTGTGGCTTTGATACGGGAGCACTGGGTTGTTGTAGTTGGTGCCAGGTGTGTAAAGTATTGTAGAACTGTTCTTGCAGAGTTAGTTGCATCTTCTAGTTTGCTGGAGTAGCTCTTATGTCGGTCGTCCTGAGTGGAAACCACTTTATGGGCACCCATTTGCTGTTTAGTATTGTAGTGAGTCCCGTTGAGTGGGATTTCAGTGCTCATTTCTGTGTTTGCAGACTCTGAGACCCTATGTTCAAGTCACAGAGTTTATTCTAGAAGTTAATTGAAGAAAAATTGAGTGTTTCTCACACACAGTTAAGTAACATATAGTTTGTTAGCAGCGAGTGACTTTCTAATAGAGTTTTCATACTTTTGTATTAACTTCCAGTAGAATTTCCACTCAGGGTCCTGATTGGGCACACCTGCTCTGTCGGCGGGCTGATGGGTGCGGTGGTACAGCCATGGGGTTCACCAGGCACAGGTTCTGTCTTCTCTCATCTTATGGATGAGGAAGCTGAGGCTCAGAGGGGTTCAGCGGCCTCTGTGGGTCCCACAACTGGTGGTGGAGGTGGTTTTTACCTGGTCACCTGAGCAGCCTCTGCTTTTGAGCACTGCCTGTCATCTGTCCACCCCGTTAATGCCACAGAAATGCTTCCTGTGAGCTGCCCAGGCAGACCCACAGAGCAAGGACAGTGGGCGCTCAGAGTGACCACGGGCAGGGTTGGTGGGTGAGCAGATGCTGCTGTGGCTCTGCCACCAGGGCCACCTTTGGGTACGAGGAGGCGTTGAGAGGCCCATCTGATGAGGGTGCAGGCTTCGCCTCTGGTGTAGGGCTCACGTGAGGGCAGGAGAAGCCCTGTGTGAGTGGCACATTGCGGGAGAAGGTATGGCCCGCAGTGGCTCAGGGCCTTGTGTGTGCAGCCAGGATGTCGGCACCTTGGCTGGCTCCTGCCCAGGCAGGAGTGGGCAGGCTCTAGGGGTTGAGCTGGAACAGGGGTCTGAGGTGCTTCTTAGCCAGCGTCCCAAGTGGGGCGTGGCCCCGGCCGTGGGATGGGACAGCCAGGGAGGCAGGAGGAGGCCGCAGAGAGGCCCACTGGGCCCAGACTGAGGCGGATGGCTGGCTGTGGCCCCACAGGGCTTTCGGCAGGTACTTTTGGTGTAATGGTCAGGACAACAGCCTGACGTGGAGGCCTGAGGGAGAGGCCAGAGGGAGGAAAAGGAGGCAGGAAGCAAATGGAGGCATCTGCTTGAGAAGGGAGAGGGGAAGTGGCCTTGCAGCCCGTGCTCCTGAGATGCCGGCCAGCAGGGAAGACTGCAGGACGGATGCTTAAGCTTCTTCGCCTGCACGCACCGCATCGGGCGGGATGGCCGTTTACAGTTATTAACACAAGGCTTTTCAACAGTGATTCTTCATGTTCTCTAATTCCCATCTGGTCAGTATTCCTGTGTGTTTTGTCAATATTATTTTCTTAAACCTGTTGGTGACTAAACAGTGGGTGGGAAGAATTTCATCACCAGCCAACATGTCAGTGTGACTGATGGTTCAGTGTTTCCACTCTGTAGATGTCACAGTATCCCATGCCGGGTCATTTGTGTGCCCTTGGCGTCAGTTTCATGCACTGGATAAGTTTGTCTCTTCTGTCTAAAACTGACTTTTATCAGAGCCTTTGTTGAGGAAACACTCTCCCCTGGGTGTTTGAGTCGCCTGTGATGTGCTCTGACAGGCTTTGAGTGGCATCTGAAGGCGGAGGCACCTTTCAGGCAAGCTGCCGCCACAGCCCACCAAGGCCTGACCAAGGCTGTTTCTGAGAGAAGAGCGGAGCCCCTTGAAGGTCAGGTGCCACCCGCTCCCGGCGGTCTGAGCTTTGCTTGATTCTTCTCATGTTAGTTGGGGAGAATTCTCGAAATATTTTCTCTGAGTATCAGTGAGCCTTAGAAGTTGTGTAGCTTTTCATTTTCAAGATGACTTTGGAGTTAATATTTTTAACCTTACATATTTCAAATGGTTTTTGGGAAGTTTGCAGGTTTAATAGAATAAAAACTATACCTAGTGATGATATATACTTCTTAGGATCATTTAAATTGTTATTCTTGGTTTTATATCACTCGTCCTGTAGCCAGAATCAGTCTTCCTTGGAAGGAAACCACAGTGGCTTATCCCAGCTGGGTGTGACCTTGCTCACCAGCCCGCTTCCTCCCTGGAGGGCCTCCCCTCCAGGTGCTGGTGTCAGACAGACCAGCCTCCCAGGGCTGAGGGCTAAACGTCTGCTCCCTGTGGTTTTCAGACTTCTCATTATATTAGAAAATTTTGAAAGTCTTTTTTAAAGAGGTTAAGTAGTCTTCTTCCAAAGGCTGTTTTTTAAAGTCAGGTTTAAAAAGAAAGAACCTACATTATGGCCTTTCGGAATGTGGCATAGAAGTTAGTGTGTGCTGAGAACTGAGTGGGAAATCTTTCCTACTTTCCCTGGAGAAGTGTTCACAGCCACTCCCTACTCCCTGTTTTTGGCATCAACTTAGCAAACCCTGGTCAGAAATCAGATTTAAGTGTTTCCTTTTGTCTGCTAACCTTGTGGCCTGCGTCAGGACTGTGGGAATGCCCAGTTAGACCCCCTTAGTTACATGAAATGTCTTTTCTTCCTCAAGGTAAGTGAATTTTGATTGCAGAAATTGTCATGAACTCGAATGATGTATTTAATATTGGCGTATGCGAAGTGATCTTCTATGGTTGTTTATACACCTGGGCACTTGGACCTGGGTGCCACGCTCCCCAGTGTTTGGGGTTAGGGAAACGCACACAGTGTAGCCATGCCCCGGGGCCGGGCCACAGCGGCCCTCACTGCTTGCAGACAGTGTGTGTGATGCTTTGTTTCCTTAATTGAATTAGTATTTGGTGGACTTCACATTTATAGTAAGTTTTATAATAGATTTTTTTAATTATCAGTTTTCAAAAATCACTTTATTTATAATTTTTTCAGGAGATAAATCTCCCCCTAAACTTGAACCATCAGATGCATTACCTCTTCCTTCAAACTCGGAGACTAATTCAGAACCACCAACCCTCAAACCAGTAGAACTCAACCCAGAGCAGAGTAAACTATTCAAAAGAGTCACATTTGATAATGAATCACATAGCACTTGCACTCAGAGCGCACTGGTAATCGGACACCCTCCAGAGCCCACCCTCGCCAGTAGTGGCGATGCGCCGGCGGCGGCGGCCTCCGCAGTGGCGGAGCCATCAAGCGATGTAAACAGACGCACTTCTGTTCTCTTCTGCAAATCGAAAAGTGTAAGCCCCCCAAAGTCTGCCAAGAACACTGAAACCCAGCCAACTTCTCCTCAGCTAGGGACCAAAACCTTTTTGTCTGTAGTCCTTCCGAGGTTGGAGACTCTTCTGCAGCCAAGAAAAAGGTCGCGGAGCACCTGCGGCGACTCCGAGGTGGAGGAGGGGTCCCCGGGAAAGCGCCTGGACACAGGTAAATGCCACAGAGGCCTTGCCGCGCGTCCTCTTCTCCTGCAGGGGCTCCGGGCAGCGTTGTCGGGAGGTGCCACAGCTGCTTGTGCAGTTTACTGTCCAGAGTTCTCTTAATTTCAGGAAAGAAGACAGACAGTGCAGCTTTTCTTTGAAAAGTCCTAAAGCATAGGTCTGAGGTGGCGCCACTGGGGGTGGCTGTGGGCCAGGGTTGGCCTGGCATGGGTGCCTGAGCTCGACCCTTCCCTCTGGTCTTTTGGATACCAGGAGAGGCCTCAGAGCATAATTAGTACTTGGTCGTTTGTCACAGTGTGCATCCAGGTAAACTGGTGGTGTGTGAGAGGCTGCACCTGGTTTGTGGAACCCCCTGGTGGGGACATGCGCAGGAGTGACAGCATGGGGTTTGGGGGTGCCTCGGGGGGGGGGGGGTCGGCTCTACTCTCCGCTGTGTCATGGGCCTCCCTTTCTGAAGATGGTGCCTGGGACCCTCTACAGGATTCTATCCTGGGGCCTTCTGAAGAGAGCACTTGGCCCAGTCGGTTAAAGATCCTTTTGACATTTTCTCACTGTTCCATGCAGCTTTGTTAGTACATATGTGACAAATTTTTATGGCCTGCTAAAACAACAGTGAAGGTGTCTCTCATTTACTACTAAGCTTTTATAACTTAAATTTAATTAATTTGCCAAGAAGTTCCCCATGCATGTGTTATATCAGTAGCATTTTCACGGAATTTCCTCTGTGCTAAGTTTGAAGGAAGCCGTGTGCTCTTTCACGGCCTCTGTTTATAACCTTTCAGATTAAAGCCGAGGAGGCTCTGAGCTGGTTGAATTAGCAGGACTGTTTGTCATCTGCGCCTGTTTGGTGATGGCCGTGCCTCTGAGAGGTGGTGGGGTTGCGTCTCTGACACGTCCTCTTGGGGGTGTATGTGAGTGGGTTTGTCCTGTTGTGGCTCCGGGCCTGGCCGTCTGCTGGAGCTGGACAGAGAGCCGTACGTTTCTTCTTCCGGCCCTGCGAGCGTTAGGGCAGCTTCTCGTGCCTTTCAGGCGGGAGCACGTGGGTCTGGGGGGCCCTGGCCTTATCTTCTGGGGTGGCAGCGAGTGAATCCCTGTCCTGGAGCCCTGCCAGGACAGGGTCAGGTGGGTGGCTGGTGGTGGGGGTAGCCCCGCCCAGGGCCATCTGTTTCTCCCCTCCGCCCATTGAGTCTGAAGTGTCTCTGGAGGAGTTGGAGCTCCTGGAGGTCTTTACGCCCAGCTGTGTTTCTGCATGTCAGCAAACAGTTCATTCTTTTTGTTGCCAAAGTCGTTTCCCATAAATTTCATTTTAACGTGTAGGAAACTTTTGTACATAGAATTAATTTTATAGAAATTCTCTACTTACGTATGTCTATTTTGATGGATTGATACCAGGTTGGAGTTTTTTAAATAATTTGTTGAAGCCTTTTTTGTTTCGTTTTCTAAAATAATACGAAGCGACTTCAGTGTTCCATAGGATATAGATAGAAATATAGATGGAGCTTATTTCAGTTCTTGAGAATTCCCCTTAATGACACCGTGGCCTTTCTTAGCCAAATTTAGTGGAAGACTCTTTCCACTTGTTTTTTAAGCGTACTGACAAGTCCCAGCAATTAGGAGTGGGCGGAAAGTCAGTGTGTGTTGTGCTCTGGGCCCCAGGGCCTATCTGGTTAGTGATAGCTCTGAGCGCCAGGCCCTGGCCAGTGCTCTCCCCTGTCTGGGGTGCCCACCCCACACCAGAGCTCTGACCACCCTGTCGGCAGCATGAGTGCGGGGCATGGTTGGTCCAGGGCCCCCCCCCGTGAAGTGGATGTCTGAGAATAGTCTGCCAGGCCCCATGGTGGCCTTCACCTGACCAGTTGGTCCTGCTGGGACTGTGGCCACCTGTGGGCCTCCAGCTGTTGGTGAGGTTCCACTAGCCTGGCGGTCATGACTTTCAGGGGCCTCTTGGTCTTACTTACCAAACATAAAAATAAAGTGCCCCCTCCTTCCACTTTTCCCCTTCTGAGTGGAGGATTCTGCAGGCTTTTGGTGGCGGCGGTGAGTCTTACGTGGAGGTTTTACCGCAGGCCTCCAGTGAGTGGGTGTCTGGAGGAGCGCCTGCACCTTTGATCTTTTTGAAGTGGAGGCTTCTGCTTTCTTGTTCCAGAATGGCCCTAGACTCAGTGGATGCCTACTGAGTCCTAGCGTTCTCCTGTATGCCCGGAGCCTTAGTAGCATTAGGATCCACTTGGCGCTCAGGCACAGGGCTGGTGCCACCTGGCGTGTCCCTCCTGGCACCCCTTACTGGCCTTGATTTTGCCCGGGCCTCCCGGTGCTCTCTGCATGTTCCGGGTTTCTTGCTCTGAGCTGCAGTCTTCGCAGTCTGAGGATTTGAAGTATTCTGAACTTTGCTGTTTTCCCAGAGATTCATCTGTGTGCTCTGCCTTGTGGGGCATTCTCTGGTGTTCCACAGTGTGCTGTAGGGTTTCCAAGTTAGAGTGAAAACAGATTTGTTCATTCTGAGACGCCAGCCCCGCTGTGGGTCCTTCCTGCTCTCGCGGTATTGGAAGCACCCATGGGTGAAGTGTGCAGTGCTTCTTGCCCTCATGGAGGGTTAGCGCAACTACCCTGCTCGTCCTGTGGTCACATCTTGTAGAGCCTGCACTGTCTCCTGGCTTCCTTCTTCCATGACCACTGACTGACTTCCAATGATGAGTAAATCAGGCCAGAACTTCTGTGCTACTGGTCTCTTCTCTTGAGACTCCTCCGTGATTCCTGTTGTCACTGGCGGGGCCTGTGTGGGAGAGAGGGAGAGTCTTTTGTGTCCTTAGGCTGTTCAGGGAGGAGGCTGGTCTGTTGGTGCCTTTCAGTCAGACTAAATGGCTTTTTCGCTGTTTTCCAGGTTCTCATTTTAACTACTAACATGCTGGGTAGTTCACTCTTTGGATCCTAATTATTTTCTCTTACTCAACTTGGACTGGAGCTCTGCTAAGCGGTCATTTTGGAGCGCAGAGAGATCGCTGCATCCTTGCATTTCACGTAATTCTTGTGGATAACGTTGGAAGCATCAGTTCAGCCATCCTCCAAACAAACACAAACACCAACACTTGGAGGAGACCTGCCCCACCCCACCCACCCCTTCTGTAAGTCAGAGCCAGACGCCCACAGGAGGACCGCGCAGGTGCATGAGGACCGCCGGCACCCTCCTCGAGCTGGCAGGATGCTTCCTCGGCCCCTCCTGTGGATAGGTGTGACCGATGCAGAGGGAAGCCTTAGAGTCAAGTGCTCGGAGAGCCTGCTGCATCCACAGATGACTTACGTGGACAGAGATTCTGATCCTGCCCTTGGCCGGCACAGAACCGGGCCTGAGATGACCAGGGGATCTGGGTTGGGGCACCCGGGCTCGGGAAGGAACTCTGCACACTCCACACGGCCCGGCTGGAAGATCTCTCCCTCGGTTGTTAGCATCTTTGTTTCCCAGTTTCTCCCTGATCTCCCTTCTCTTTCCTTTATTGCCTCCTGGTCGTCCCCCGTGGATAATTGAGCAGCGGCAGCTCTGTCTCTCTGGTCACCATGCCCAGCGCCTGCCTCAGCGAGCAGAAGTCTTGTCCGTGGGACTGGAGGCGTCCCCTGCCAGGTGTCCTGTGTGAGCCTTCCCTGCCACTGCTGCATCTTCTTGGAGCTGGTCTAGGCAAAATCAGGGTGGTTGGGTTCTTCATATTTGCTGTGTTTTTGTGTTTTTATCGAAAGGTTGAAAAATGCACAAGAAATGCATTTATATTGCCAATAGTAAAAATAAAAACGTGTAACAAACTAATGGGCATGCCCCACCGCTCCGAGAGGCCGAGTGCAGTCATGGTGCCCGTGGCCTCTGACGCTGACCCCACATCTGTCCTGTGTCATCAGGGTCAGCAGGAGCCAAGTGGCAGCCTGGGTGGTGCTGGGAGCGCTTACGTCCACACCACGTGGCCCCGGGTGCACGGCGGCGGCGAGTGCGGCCGTCTCCTTACCTTACCTTACCTTGCCTTGCCTCTTGCCGAGCTGCCGTCCAGAAGGTTCTTCAAGGCCCAGCAAGGGCGTGGTGGGTGTGGACCCTGGCCATCTGTCACACCTGTGGAAGCACTTGGGACTTCTTGCTGCCTGGTGGGTGTGAGCTATGCAGGGTGGAGGTCCCAGCCTTGGGAAGCCATTACTGATGGGTGTCTCGGGAAGGCCTGGAACGGCCTTGATGGTTGGGGAGTCAGGCCAGGATGCTCTTGGCTCTGTGGGTCGTGCCTTTAGGGGCAGAGAAGGAGCATTAGTGTTTGCTGCTGTCTCCTTACTAAGAAGTCCTCATGGTGCTACCTGTCACGGGGCTGGGCTGAGTCTTGAATGCCCTGTGTGGAGAGGCAGCTCTCGCGTTGGAGGGCATTGGCTTTTTCCTGATAGCCACCTTGTCTTGTAATTTGTTTTTCATTGTGTGCTAACTTTACTCTCAGTGTTTAAAAGACTACCTTGTGCTAAGATGGTTGCTGAGAGTACGCTCTGCTCTGTGCAGGGTTGTGGTGAGGGGTTCGGGCGCTGCATGGAAGCTTGCTGTTCGTGAATGGCCTGTGGGCTCCCCTCTGTGCAGACCTCCAGAACCTGCCTGCCTGCGTGTCATATCATGTCCTTGCAGGGTCTCCAGTGTGTGGCCTGGTGGGCTCCCTGAGCCACAGCTGGCAGGCAATGTTTGCATAGGGAGCCCATTGGGAGGGGCCAGTGAGGGAGCAGGGGGAGGTCACAGCAGGAGGGTCATGGCTGAGGGCTGGGCGGCCCCTCAGAGCCCGTTGCTGTTGTGGGGTCCTGCTCTGGCCATAGCGGCCTCATGCTGCTGGGCTTGTCTGTGGGCCTGCCACTTAGTAGGTGCTCAGTGACATTTCACAGGTAGCACGTGAGAAACCGTGTATGTGAATAACTCGTCACACTGGGTGTGTGTGTCCTCTACCTAAGTCCTTAGGACGGTGAGAGGGGGACGTGACCATTCTCTTTAATTTCTCAGATGGAAGATTTGCCCTGCATTTTAATCGTTTCCCCTTAGTGTCACTTGTGGAGCCTGGCTTCAGGTGGTGGTTGTCACCAAGCACATTGTGCAGATCACACCTCTTCCATTCTCCTAGTGGACATCTCGAGTGTGGCTGCGCTCCATGCTTTACTGCCAGGTCTCCTTTCTCCCCAGGTGCCAGGTGTGTCTGTAACGGGCACTGCCTGCTCTTCTCTTGCTTTTCCCAGCGGCCACCATCTGCTGCGGGATGGGGAGGAGCCAGTTGTGGATGCTGGACCCTGTTCATCCCTCAGTCAGGCTCTTCCCTGTCACAGGTGGTGAGACTCATCCATCACTTTTCTTGAAAGGCCTCCTTGTTTGGGAAGTCACAGGGGTGTTAGATGTGGGTGGCTTCGTGGTTCTGCCTCCTTTTCGCCTGGACTGTTGCCACAGCGTGTGTCTGGACCCGGCCCGGCGTTGGTGATGTCCTGGGGCTGCCCCCGAGGGTGCAGGTGTGGCCTTATAGCCTCGCTGGTCCTGGGCACCTGATGTGCACCTGCCTGACTGCACCCTTCTCTCACGCCCAGGTCCTGTGTCCTGGTTCTGTCCGTCTGGGTTGGGTGCGCTGTCTCTGACTTGCCTGACTCAGATTTGGGGGTCTCTCTGCTCTTGGGAGATCCCAGTGGGCCTGGATGGCACCTTCTGTGCCCTCCTGAGAATGGTCAGCCTCCGAGGACCCTGGGGGTTGAGATGCAGGGCCTTGTCCCTCACTCCCCGTTTTCCCCACCTGCTGTAAAGGGACTGCAGGTGGTTCATCTGTGTTCAAGGGTGATAGGAGCTTGCCAGGTCTCAGCCCTATGTTGTCAGCTCGACTGCTGGATTTTATGGGCCTGCTTTTTTCAAGACTGTTTGGTAAACTCTTATAACACCCCTGACTATCTGCAATTAGTTCTTGTAAGTATGAATTAGGTTTAAAATAAAAACACTAAGTTTTTCTTAAGGCCAGTGGTGTTACGTCCAACAGAAATGGAGCGGGCTGTCCAATGAATTTACTTAAAAATGCATAGCTTCGGTCTGTTCAGGGAGCAGCAAAACCCGTCCAGTTTCCACATTTTTATTTCTTAAGACGCTGCCATCAAAGTTTATTCACCTCCCTTATTTAAAAGTGAGTCATATTCATTGAGAAAATATGGAAAAGCATATAAAGCAGATCAAAAACCCCTGTAATCTGGCCACCCAGATTCAAGACAAATTCGAAGAAAGAAATTTAAAAATTTTTTAAGCAGAGGGAATGGGATTCATTTTTGGGGAAAAAAAATTATTCACAGCCCTCCAGCTGTGGCCCCTGGAGGGAGCAGGCTGGGCCCAGCGGCGTGGCACTCGCCTACAGCTCGCTGTGTCTCTGTGGGAGAGGTTTCTGCTTCGGGCGTCATCCTTGCCTACTGAGATGTCGGAGGGAGGGAGACCTGTGGCTTTTCAGGGGAAGATGCGTGGTTTGGCTTTGAGATCTGCTTTGATTAAGATGCTCCCACACTGAGATGGTGAGATTGTGTCTTATTCAGCTACTTAGAATGTTTGAAAACCAGTGATGTCTACCTTCCCGGTGCAGCGGTGCCGGCCCACCCCATGGGTGTGGTGCCTGTAGTTTTGGACCTTCCAGACATGGTGGCCTAGGTTAATGAGATGCTCATTTTTTGTTTTAAACTGTTTTTGAGGTTCATGTTAATACTTTTCTTTTGAAAGAAGATTTTTTCTTATACCGGCTGTTCCCACTGAAGCTCCTCTGCATGAATCCTCTCTTGGTGATGGTCTGACTCCTTAATGAGGTGGCCCCCATGTGGCCTAGACTTGGAGGGGCCTCATCCAGATGTGGCTCATTCCCCAGTGTGGACTAGATCAACAAGTGTGCAGAATCCATTGATTTAGGAAGGAATACCTGGATGCCCCTTTCTTTGTCTTGGGGGAACCTATTTAAAAATTTTTGCTTTTTTAAGGAGAACACCTTTAGACAAGTGTTCTCTGAACTAGTTGGATTTGAATTTATTATAATTTGCTATCTTTATTTCATTCCACAAGTGCTTCTCCATCTCTTGTGTTTTAAGCTCTCTGCTGGGTGCTGGGGGCTGTGGGGTGAAAAAAAAGATGCTGTCTGACCTGGTGTATGAATCGTCCTTGTACAGCCTGTCCCAAGGTCAGAGAGGATGGTCGCGCTTGGAGCAGTGGCTCTGACAGAGCTGAGCTCAGGTGCCTGCGTGCCTGTGTTGCAGGTCTCACCAATGGCTTTGGGGGTGCGAGGAGCGAGCAGGAGCTGGGCGGCGCCCCGGGGAGGAAAGCAGCACCCCGACGACGCTGTGCCTCCGAGTCCAGCATCTCCTCCAGCAGCAGCCCACTCTGTGACTCGAGGTGGGTACACAGTCCTCATGCCTCCCCCACGTGGCTCCCCTGCCCCACCACAGGCCCTGGCCTGGGGAGGGGTGTGTGTATTCTGACCTTTAGGGGCAGTTTCCTGTGTGTTATATATTAATCTTCTTTGTAGAATTTAACCAGGAATAGAAAACATTCTACATAAAAAATTAACAATTTTTGAATCTATAGTTACATTTATACTTTGTCTTTTCCTCCCAAAGCCTTGCCTTTATCAAAACGGCGGCAAGCACAGCCCTGCTCGTCTGCCCTGTGGAGGCCACTTTGTAGCTGGGGGTCCTGCGGCCCCAGGCTTGCTGGGCACAACCTGCTTCATGTGGGTTGCTGTGGGGCTCTTGGCTCAGCCCCCGCAGGGTCCGGCCCTGGGGCTGCAGATTGGGCAGTGAGGAAGGAGCCACTTTCTGACGCAGCTGTGCTTTTCCTCCTGAAGTCTTAGTGCGCCCAGGTGTGGCCGTGGCAAGCCTGCCCTGGTGCGTAGACACACGCTGGAGGACCGCAGCCAGCTCATCTCCTGCATCGAGAATGGGAACTACGCCAGGGCGGCCAGGATCGCAGCCGGTGAGTTCACACTCACGCCACTCTTCCAGAAGGCAGCACATCAGGCCATCGGCGCCCATGTGGCCTCTGTGGTTATGTCCGCCTCAAAGCTGAGCTCTGCCCCTCCCCCTGGGGTTTCTCTGGTGTCAGTGGAGCTCCCTCTCGGAAGGGCACGGCTGCAGTCTGTGCACTGAGCTGGATGGGGCCTGCGGGCCGGAGTCCTTGTAGCCACTGCTGGGGGCTGTGAGAGGACAGTGACGATTTTGTCCTGCAGTTTATCGTTTTCTGTGCAGAAAACTCAGCTCTAAATGGTTGCTGGGCATCAGACACTGTCAAGGCCACCCAATGTTTGTTTAGGCTCATCTGTCATTTGCAACCAAGTGTGGGCCTCAGGGTGGTGGTTCCTCAAGTTTCAGCATTAGAGGCAGGTGAGGGAGGGCCCCACTAAGCTGGGCCGCTGGGGCTTGGGGTTGGTGGGAGCAGCTCTTGCTGCAGGCAGCACCTGTGCTGTGCGGGGGTGTTGGGGCAGAAGCACGAAGCAAGAAGGGCAGGGCCACGGCGAGGAGTGACACAGGAGAGTTCTGAGCAGAGAGAGGCCCATCAACATGGCCTTGAACTTTGTCCTTGCCTGAGTGGAGACTGGGCTGGGGGCCAGGCAGGACCTCCATCACTAGGACATCGATGTGGTAGGCTTCTGAGCGAGGTCTCCAAGTCAGGCGAGGCTCCGTGCTGGGTCAGGTGGGCAAGGCGGGTGGGGAGGGCACAGTAGGCGGTGGTTCTGTGGAGGGAGCCAGGGCTGTAGTTTTAAATTTGGGGTGTCGGTTGCAGAGATGTAGTGGGGAGCCCTTTCCTTGGAGATTGGCAGGGGGGACTAAGGAAGGGGAAGACACTGGGAATCTGGAGGTTGGAGGCCCTGGGGAGGGGTGTGAGGAAGCTCTCGAACTAGGCTATGGGTTATGCAGTGTTGCAGCAGCAGAGGGGTGTGGAGGCTCCAGACACCCACAGAAGGGCAGAGGGGCCGTCTCTCTGCCTCCCCCAGTCCTGTGTACCCTCAGGCTGGGGGCAGGTGCATCCGTGACCATCCTGCTACTTGGGAGGTGGCTGCAGGGGGACAACTTGCGTCTGGCTTGGGGTGGCCCCACATGTTCATGGCCATGTCGAGTTCTGGGGGTGGGGGAGCTCTGCCTGCCTTCTGATTACTCACTTTCTCTGCTCCTTCTTTCCCCAGAGGTTGGTCAGAACAGCATGTGGATTTCAACCGATGCTGCGGCCTCCGTTCTCGAGCCCCTGAAAGTTGTGTGGGCCAAGTGCAGCGGCTACCCCTCGTACCCAGCCCTGGTGAGCCATGGGACAAGCAGATCATGGGGCCGGGATCCCAGTTGGCACACCTCATGGAGGCTGTATCTCTGGGTCGGGCATGGGGTTGGTGCTGCTGCTCTGTGGGGAGCAGAGGCGCTGAGCAGCATGGCCCTGTGCTCCAAGCTCCAGAGACATCCTGCCATTGTTGTGGGGATGCGTGTCCTGAGAGACCTGCGTGTTGGAATGTCAGGGTGTCCGTAGGGTTCCTTCAAAACCCACCTCAGCTTGGGGCTGGAGACTTCCTTCAGGGGCATGGTGTACGAGTGCTCAGACATGACCCACGTGTGCTCTCCCTTGGCAGATTATTGACCCCAAGATGCCACGCGTGCCTGGCCACCACAATGGAGTCACCATCCCGGCCCCGCCGTTGGACGTGCTGAAGATCGGTGAGCACATGCAGACCAAGGCAGATGAGAAGCTCTTCCTCGTTCTCTTCTTCGATAATAAGAGGAGCTGGTGAGTGCAGGTGTCCAGGCTTGCAGGAATGGGCCCTGGGCTCCATGGCACGTGGGGCCTGGGCGTCTGTGCAGATGCTGCAGGATCAGTGTGTACTTGTGTTCTGACGTCTGCTGCCATGTCATCATAAACCTAAGCATGGAGAGGGGTGTGAGCAGCCGGGCCCTGCAGGTGCTTGCCGACATTTAAGGTGGGGGCTCTACTGCCAGCCCAGCCCCCTTGGGGACAGGGGGTGAGTGCTGAGCACCCAGCCAGATCTCTGTTCCTACAGCTCTTCTTCCTGCCTGGATCCCACTGGCCATGCCTCGTCTCTTCATTTCTTACCTGTGTGGGTCCATGTAGTACTTATAGGCTTCAGTGGGCTTCCTACCTAGTGCTCTGCTAGGGTTCCCTGCTTTGGGCCTCCCTTGCCCATAGTGCCTTGGGCCCCCGACATGCTGTGGTTCAGACCCTGACCCCCTTGAGTGTAGGCTGCATTTGGCTGTCTGTGCATGCAGAAGGAGCCGTCACCACAGCACCTCCAGCTCTGAAAACTCATGATGCTGGTGGCGGGGGCCCCAGGCGATTTTGACTTAGGTTCTCTGCCCCTCAGAACTGGGCGTTCTCTTCGCCTGAGGCTGTTTGGCAAGGAGTGGCTGCGTGGCCTGTCGGAGGGCAAAGGTGCTTCATTACACCTTGTGGAGCCAGCTGTGCGTGGCCTGTCTGAGGAGATGCATGCCCTGCCACCCTCTAGGGTGGGGCTGCCCCCTGGAACCCACCAGCATTGGCATGTGTGGTGGTATTAATAGCCGCGTCCCCATCTTTCTCCTCACTCTGACCTTCTAGTCAGACCCAGACAGAGGTTCACGCTGGGCTTTGTCCAGTCTGATGGCCAGCAGCCCCACTGCTGGGTCCCCTGCTGCTCTCTTGGGGTCTCACTGTGTGAGTCTTGGTGTGCACATATATACTTGTGTGCACATATCTCTGCACACGTCTTGTGTGAGTGCGTGCCCATACGCACGTATACATGTGTGCATGTGTTGGTGTGTGCATATGTCTGTGAACATGTGTGAGTGTGTCTGCGTGCACATATATATGTCTGTGCATGTGTTGTATGTGTTGGTTTTCGCAGACATATACATGGGGGTGTCTACTGGCATGTTCCTTTGCTTGTCTTATGTGGCCCTTAGTGGTCACTCAGGAAAGGTGGATGACTGACAGGGTGTGCCTGCCTCCCACCGGCCTCCAGGACACAGTGGCCCCTTGGGAAGTCTTGGGGAGGAGAGGAGGTAACAACCTGGTTCTTGTACCTTCCCTGAACCCCTGTGCCCCAGAGGTGTGGCAGAAAAGTTGGGCAGGGGTTTTCCCAGAGCTTCTCTTCCCGCCCTTCGCCCCACAGTGCCTGATGTCATCTGGAGGGCCCTGTGTTGTTACATTACCCCATGAAGTGTGTGGAAGTTACCGAGCGGGCAGTTCTTATTGTTCCCATCTTTTTCCTTTTTTTTCCCTCACCCAGGATCTGAACCTGCAAACCCTGGGCCACCGAAGCGGGGCATGCAAGGGTTACTTTTATTTTTTATATCCTTAGCCCTAGTGCAGTGTTTGGCACAATATAGGCACTGGTTAAATAGTTATTGATTGAACTAGTGTTAGCGTTGTACCTTATATATAGTATAGGTGTATACTGAAGAGACTGATTTTAAAATCGGAGTTGTAAAGCCTTCAGAATTCCTTCTGAATTCTGTTTAAATATGTTACAAGTTTGAATTAGAAAATATTTTGAAAGTAAGTTTATCATCACTCAAATTGGTCTTTCAAAGTAAATATTCTGTGCCATAATAAATAACTCATTTGTAGTTTATTCGTTTGTATTACAATGATTAAAGCTTTAAGTGGCCTTAACCTTTTTTTTAACTTTTTATTGAGATTATGATAGTTTACAACCTTGTGAAATTTCAGTTGTACGTTATTGTCTGTCAGTCGTGTTGTAGGTGCACCCCTTCACCCTTTGTGCCCACCCACACCCCCCCTTTCCCCTGGTAGCCACTAATCTGTTCTCTTTGTCCACATGTTTAACTTCCTCATATGAGTGGAGTCATACAGAGATTGTCTTTCTCTATCTGGCTTATTTCACTTAACATAATTCCCTCAAGGTCCATCCATGTTGTTGTGAATGGGATGATTTTATTCTTTTCTATGGCTGAGTAGTATTCCATTGTATAAATATACCATATCTTCTTTTTCCAGTCATCAGTTGATGGGCACTTAGGTTGCTTCCACATCTTGGGTATTGTAAATAATGTTGCAGTGAACGTTGGGGTGCATGGGACTTTTGGAATTGCTGACTTCAAGTTCTTTGGATAGATACGCAGTAGTGGGATGGCTGGGTCATATGGTATTTCTACTTTTAATTTTTTGAGAAATCTCCATACTGTTTTCCATAGTGGCTGCACCAGTTTGCATTCCCACCAGCAGTGTATGAGGGTTCCTTTTTCTCCACAACCTCTCCAACATTGGTTACTTTTTGTTTTGGTTATTTTTGCCATTCTAATGGGTGTAAGGTGATATCTTAGTGTAGTTTTGATTTGCATTCCCCTGATGATCAGTGATGATGAACATCTTTTCATGTGCCTATTGGCCATCTGGATATCTTCTTTGGAGAAATATCTTTTCATGTCCCCTGCCCATTTTTTGATTGGGTTGTTTGATTTTTTGTTGTTGAGTTGTGTGAGTTCTTTATATATTATGGAGATTAACCCTTTGTCAGATACATGACTTGCAAATATTTTTTCCCAATTGGTGGGTGGTTTTTTTGTTTCAATCTTGTTTTCCCTTGCCTTGAAGAAGCTTTTTAGTCTGGTGAAGTACCATTTGTTTATTCTTTCTATTGTTTCCCTTGTCTGAGAAGACATGGTGTCCGAAAAGATCCTTTTAATACTGATGTCAAAGAGTGTACTGCCCAAATTTTCTTCTAGAAGCCTTACAGTTTCAGGTCTTACCTTTAGGTCTTTGATCCATTTTGAGTTTATTTTGGTGAATGGTGAAAAAGAATGGTCAATTTTCATTCTTTACATGTGGCTTTCCAGTTTTCCCAGCACCATTTGTTGAAGAGACTTTCTTTTCTCCATTGTAGGCCCTCAGCTCCTTTGTGGAAGATTAGCTGTCCGTAGATGTGCGGTTTTATTTCTGGGCTTTCAATTCTGTTCCATTGATCTGTGTGCCTGTTTTTGTACTAGTACCATGCTGGTTTGATCACTATGGCTTTGTAGTATGTTTTGAAGTCAGGGGTTGTGATGCCTCCAGCTTTGTTCTTTTTTCTCAGGATTGCTTTAGCAATTCGGGGTCTTTTGTTGCCCCATATGAATTTTAGGATTCTTTGTTCTATTTCTGTAAAGAATGTCATTGGGATTCTGATTGGGATTGCGTTGAATCTGTCAATTGCTTTAGGTAGTATGAACATTTTAACTATGTTTATTCTTCCAATCCATGTGCATGGAACGTCTTTCCATCTCTTTATGTCATCATCAATTTCTTTCAGGAAAGTCTTGTAGTTTTCGTTGTATAGGTCTTTCACTTCCTTAGTTAAATTCACCCCAATGTATTTTATTCTTTTTGTTGCGATTGTGAATGGTATTGTGTTCTTGAGTTCTTTTTCTGTTAGTTCGTTATTAGAGTTTAGAAATGCTACTGATTTACGTAAGTTGATTTTATACCCTGCAACTTTGCTGTAGTTGTTGATTATTTCTGATAGTTTTCCAATGGATTCTTTGGGGTTTTCTATATATAAGATCACGTCGTCTACAAAGAGTGAGAGTTTCACTTCTTCCCTCCCTATTTGGATTCCTTTTATTCCTTTCTCTTGCCTAATTGCTCTTGCCAAAACGTCCAGTACTATGTTGAATAAGAGTGGTGATAGTGGGCATCCTTGTCTCGTTCCTGTTTTCAGGGGGATGGCCCTCAGTTTTTGCTCATTGAGTATGATATTGGCTGTGGCTTTTTCATATATGGCCTTTATTATGTTGAGGTAATTTCCTTCTATCTCCATTTTGGCAAGAGTTTTTATCATAAATGGCTGTTGGATCTTGTCAAATGCTTTCTCTGCATCTATTGAGATGATCATGTGGTTTTTATTCCTCAGTTTGTTGATGTGGTGTATCCGTTGATTGATTTGCGGATGTTGAACCATCTCTGTGTCCCTGGTATGAATCCCACTTAGTTATGATGTATGATCCTTTTGATGTATTGCTGAATTCAAGTTGCCAAAATTTTGTTGGAAATTTTTGCGTCTATATTCATCAGCGATATTGGCCTGTAGTTCTCCTTTTTTGTATCATCCTTGTCAGGCTTTGGTATCAGCGTGATGTTGACCTCGTAGAATGTGTTAGGAAGTGTCCATCCTCCCTAATTTTTTGGAATAGCTTGAAAAGTATAGGTATTAAATCCTCTCTGAAAGTTTAATAGAATTCCCCAGGAAAGCCATCTGGTCCTGGGCTTTTATTCTTTGGGATGCTTTTGATTGCTGTTTCAATCTCTTTCCTTGTGATTGGTCTGTTCAAATTGTCTGCTTCTTCTTGACTAAGCTTTGGGAGATTGTAGGAGTCCAAGAATTTATCCATTACCTCTAGGTTATCCATTTTGTGGCATATAGTTTTTCGTAGTATTCTCTTAGAATCTGTTGTGTTTCTGCGGTATCCTTTGTTTCTCCTCTTTCATTTCTAATTTTGTTTGTCTGAGCTGTGTCTTTTTTTCTTTGTAAGTCTGGCTAGGGGTTAGTCAATTTTATTTATCTTCTCAAAGAACCAGCTGTTTGTTTCGTTGATCCCTTCTACTGCCTTTTTCGTTTCAATAGCATTTATTTCTGCTCTAATTTTTATTATTTCTCTCCTTCTGCTGACTTTGGCCTTTGTTTGTTCCTCTTTCTCTAATTCAGTTAGGTTCAATTTGAGGTTGCTTATTTGGGATTTTTCTTGTTTGTTAAGGTGTGCCTGTATTGCGATCAATTTCCCTCTTAATATAGCTTTTGCTGTATCCCGTATGAGTTGGTATGGCATGTTATCATTTACATTTGTCTCCAGATGTTTTTTGATTGCTTCTTTAATTTCTTCAATGATCCATTGCTTGTTCAATAGCATGTTGTTTAGTCTCCCTATCTTTGTCCCTTTCTCAGCTTTTTTCTTTTAATTAATTTCTAGCTTTATGGCATCATGATCGGAGAAGATGCTTGTTACTATTTCAATTTTTTTAAATTTATAGAGGCTTGCCTTGTTTCCCAACATATGGTCTATCCTTGAGAATGTTCCGTGCGCAGTTGAGAAGAATGTGTATTCTGCTGTTTTTGGATGGAGTGTTCTATATATGTCTATTAAGTCCAACTGTTTTAGCTTTTTGTTTAATTCCACTGTTTCCTTGTTGATTTTCTGTCTATCTTCTTTTAGGTTTGTTAATAGTTGCTTTATGAACTTTGGTGCTCCTGTGTTGGGTGCATAGATATTTATAAGCGTTGTTTCTTCTTGATGGATTGTCCCTTTGATCACTATATATTGCTCATCTGTGTCTCTCTTTACCTGCCTTATCTTGAAATCTACTTTGTCTGATATAAGTATTGCGACACCTGTTTTCTTTTGTTTGCCGTTAGCTTGTAGTATCGTCTTCCATCCCTTCACTCTGAGCCTGTATTTGTCATTGGAGCTGAGATGTGTTTCCTGGAGGCAACAAATTGTTGGATCTTGTTCTTTAATCCATCTTGCCACTCTGTGTCTTTTTATTGGAGAGTTCAATCCGTTTACATTGAGGGTGATTATTGATGCATGAGGGCTTAATGCTGCCATTCTGTCGCTCGTTTTCTGGTTTTCCTGCATTTCCTTTGTTTCTCGTCCTGTGTGATTTGGTCTACCCATTGACTTCTGTAGTTTCTTATGCTGTGTTTCTTAGTTTTTTCCTTATTTATTTTTTGTGTCTCTGTTCTGCTGTTTAGTTTAGTCGCTACCCTGAAGTTTGTATTCAGAATCTCGTGCATAACATAGTCCATTTTCTCATGGCCTCTTATTTCCGTAGTCTAAACTGACTCAGTCCCTTTCCTCCTCCCCTCCTAAGTTACTATTTTCATATCTTCTTCCAACGTGTGTGGTGAGTTTGTGGTTAAAGTGACAAGATTGTCTTTCTTTTTGGTGTTTTCCTTCCCTTTAGCCTAATGCTGTAGTTGAAGATTTGCTATCCTATTCTGATTCTGTTTGTCTCCTTACCTTGTGTTTTGTGACCCCTTTCTCCCTTTTTTTCTTTTTTCAGGTATGAAGGCCTTCTTGAGGATTTTGCGGGGGGGGGGGGGGGGGGG